TATTCGTAGCCATCACCTGTATCTTTTCCGTCTTGTGTCCTTCAGTATCTATTTCCTTTATCGGCTCCTTCCATGCTCGCCCGTGCCTCGCCATTTGGAAAATCCGTACTGTACACATATTATGTCTGCTAGACGTAAATTTTCGAGACGGACGTAACATAGGGCGTATGCATACACATGTGTACGAACGAGACGCAAACGCGGCACTCCAGATAGCAAGCAGTTCAAGGTAAGACGACAAAGCTCAACATGGAAAGGACATGGAAGGCGGAACATGCACCGAACAAACATAATATGGGTCATGGCATAGGACGCTGACGCGGACCAAGGCAATACCGGACGGTATAAATAGGGACGCGTTGCGCCGGGAGTACAATATGGACTATCAGCTACAGGTCGGGTCAGGTCATATCAGGTCGGGGTCGTCAGAATGTGCCCAGGGCGAGGACGCGGTAGAGTGCGTTTGCCTCCTCGAAACGTGCGTTGCGCAGCGCGAAGTGCGCCATCTCGGCAGAGTCCGCGTCCGAGGAGGGGTCCACGATCGACGCCTTGATCAGGGAGCTGTAGAAGCGACAGAGCTGCGCGCGATCGAGCCGCGGAGTAGACGGCGTCAGCATCACGTACGAGGAAGAGTGGGAGCGCTCACGTTCTGGACACCCTTGGCGAAGCGGTCGTCGCTGATCGTCCCCTCTCGCTCGTCCTGCTCTGCTCGGTCGAGCCATTCGATGGCATCGTGGATGAACCATCCGAGCACCTCCGTCCGGACGAGGTCAGCGACTGTCGTGCGGCCGCCTGTAGTAGCATCTGCTACCATGGTGGGGTCACGAAGCAGACGACCGATGACGTCGAACGAGTGCAGAGTCGGCGGCAAGTGCTTCAACACGTCGAGATACACGCCGGGATCCTGGTCAGAGGCCAGCAGCGTGGTCAACAGAGGGAGAGCAAGCGTCGGGTTATTCGAGATTAAGGCCGGAAGGTCGGTGGAAGTAATGACAGGCAAAGAAGTCAATTGCTGAATGGCAGGGACCAGAACCTGGTGAGCAATTGTGAGTACACCTGCAAATATATACAGATGAAGACGTACACGCTGTTCTGAGAGCGTAAGCACGCGATGGCGCGCGGCCAGCAACAGCGTCATCACATCGGAGAGATGTTGGTTCTCTCTGTCACGCTCAGCGCTGACCACTACCTCGGGCTCTCGCGCAAAGGTCGACAGGGGTGCCGCATTGAGCGCGGCATGATCATTTTCTCCAAATCTGGCAAGAAGTCATGAGTGTCATGCATTCGAACCTGACCACACCGAACATCTCGTGGCTATTCACGAAGAAGGTTTGACGAGCAAAGAAAAGAACGCACGGGTCAAACTTTGTACGGTCCGACACGAGCGGCTCGGTCTGGAGACTCAGATTCGCCGCCCTGAGCTTCGGGGGCAACGGAGAGCGTGCGAGTGTGCTCGGGGAGAACGGCCCAATCTACATACCATCAGCCTCATGGTCCGCGGGTGCACAATTGCAAAATGCACGCACGTCATTTCCATCCCCCTTCAGGATCTTCCACAGCACCCAAACAAGTTGCTCGCTCTCGCCGACACCGCCGCTGCTCGCGATCTTGGTCGCAATGTCGCGCTCGTGTGCAAAGGTGGAAGACAGCGCGGACCTGAACGGATTAATGCCTATGGGATGTGGTGCATATAGTGAGTACAGTATATAGGAAACAAGTATCCGTTGCGCAGGCTGCAAAGAGGTGCGCGATCAGCACCGAACAGGCCAGCGATATGGAGGGAATGGTACCAACTTCTACATGAGACTCCAGAAGGGGCAAAAGCACATCAAGGGCCACTTGGAATCGCGAGGTCGGTTGTACGAGCTGCGTGAACGCCTGCGCAGCTGTCGAGCATGGCAGGGTGTATGCTCGGGACAGAAGATGGCTGACGGACGCCCGCACCGGGTCCCCTGCGGTCTGCTTAGCAGCGAGCGGTGGTGCGAAGAACGTCGCGGTTTGCATGTCGAGTCGAACTCAGCTAGAGAAGCATCGAGGCGTCTGCCTCAGTCGTTGTCGACGACGGTGGTCGCGGCAACTTCAGCCACATTTCGTGTTGGAGACATATTTGGTCCTTGTTTACGAACGGTGGCATATTTATACGGGGCCCGCATTGAGGGTTCCGACATGTAAAGTATTGGCCATGTCAATGTTCTTATCATGCTCAGATTATAATCTAGTACTAGGTACGTTCTTAGGAAGGTCAGATCGCGCTCAGGGGAAGTGTGCGACCGTTCGAGCAGGTCACCGCACTGGCAGTTGAATTGGGGCCAACGCGGGCGGAGGGGCGAACGATGATATGGCGTGCATGCAGTACTAAAAATGGCTGCCCACAGCTACTTGTTCTTCGTTGCCCTATTCGGCCATTTAGCGTACTGCAAACACCAATAGTACCAACGTGGTACTGACCTATATGTGAACCTCTTTTTTGTGATTGAGAACTCGCCCAACTTGTGGCCCACCATATCCTGTGTCACAATCACCGGGACGTAGTCCTTCCCGTTGTGCACAAGAAACCGAATTCTGCGGCAGTCGCAATCAGGTCAGCTCTGAAAGCAAGTGATCAATGCTCAGGGCGCAGACACACCCGACGAAGTTGGGAAGGATGGTGCAAGACCGTGCTTGAGTCCGAATAGGAACGTTATTTTCCAATGCTTCACGCAGGTTTGGGAACGCAACAAAGAAGGGACCTGTAAATTTCGATGAATTAAAGACACGGAAGCCAGACTCAAAGCGTATACCTTTCCATGCCGAGCGTCCGGAGCGTGCGACCAGCGTGGGGATCATCGAGAGCACCGAGCGTGGATGTCGTGAGCAACAAGTATGGCCACCAGCGGACAGCACGCACTCGAAGGCACAGAGATCTGAATCTGGAGTCTGAGGACAGATTACGTAACCCGCGAGTGACAACGCTCGTCGAATTCGGATGGTCGGACGACCGCGACCAACGATGCTCCTTACACTTTCTACCGCGGTCGTTCCGCTCGCGTTTCTCCTCGTAACGCCCCCCAACCCAGCTGTGCACGACTCATGTCTGTCCAAGTCTTATTATGGATTGCACGGACAGCAGAGTGTGTTCATTACCGACGAAGCATGCATATCTGATGCTGCGGACTTCCTCACCGAGGGCACCATCATCCCACTGGAGAAGACAGAGGACCTCGTCTGGCTGGAGCAGGAAGCCGTCGATGAGGCGCTCAGACCTGCCACGTTTGTTGACGAGCTGGACGACTTTCTGGAGGAGCTCGCGCAGTTGGAGCAACCGCCATACGGAGGTAACGGCGAGCAGCAGATCCTGGAGGGGCGGAAGAGCGTGGTGCAGGTCTTGAGTCGCACTCCCTCTTTCACATTAATTGCCATCGATCCCTCCGTGGCCGTTACCCTCGACATGCGTCTCCCGCGCTACTGGAAGGCTTCGCCGCTGCCCATAGCCCCTGTCCCGCTACTTCCTGTCCCGTCCTCCGCGATAGACCACGTCCGGAACATCCTCGCATCTGTCAAGTTCGACCCCGATGTTGCGTCGATAGTACATAACATCTCGACCTCGGACATGTTTCGCGCCATCCGCTATCTTACCGGCGAGGACCCCGCCTCACCGCTCGTCTCACGTCACGCGTTATCGCAGGGTGCAGTCGACGCCGCGGGCTGGTTGAAGGCTCAATTCGAGGAGACCGGGGCACATTGCGTGCTTCAGCCCTTCCTGCGCGGTTTCTCGCCGAACGTCGTCTGGTGTGCCCTGCTTCTTCCTGCTCTGAGTCGTGCACTGATCGCACCCGCAGCCAATTCGACGCGAACACGGACACGACCGAGATTGTGCTACTGAGTGCCCACTACGATAGCCGCGGCTCGTTCGGGAGCACCCGTGCGCCGGGCGGCGACGATGATGGTTCAGGCACGATTGCGCTCCTGAGCATCGCGCGCGTCATCGCGCGCAAGGGCATTACATTCAACAAGAACGTGCAGTTCGCCTTGTTCTCCGGCGAAGAGCAGGGTTTGTACGGCTCTAAGTACTACGCGCGTGAGTCCCCCGACGCAGTCATGCGACATGGTCTGAAGGCTCTGTCGTTTTGTTTGCCAGGTGAATTGCGTGCGAAGAACGCGAATCTGACGCTGATGATACAGGCCGACATGATCGGCTACCACGCGCCCGGAGAGCCTCCGCAGCTGGGCCTTCCTGCTTCGTTCGTCGCCGTCGCCATCGTCACTGCAATTCCGACTGACTGCATTGCAGCATAGGCACTCCTGAGGTCGCACAGCTCGTTGCGAACCTCTCCGCCATCTACAGCCCTGAGTTGACCGTCGGCATTACTGCGGTACGGCATTGCCTATCCCATTGTTACGTCTGTTCTGATCGTCTATGTTTCGTTTAGGCATGCTGCAGTGACCACCAGGTATGTGTGGTCACTAGCGTTTGTGTGCACGATTTCTGATCTTGTCCAGAGTTTCCATGAGCAAGGCTTCCCCTCCACACAAGTCTTTGAGCGCGCAGGGCCCATCGCAGACCCGATGTATCACAACAGCGGTAAGTAGCGTCCTGCTACTCGTTCCTGCCTGTCTCACTGCTCGCGATCCCAGGTGATCTGAGCGAGCGCGAAGGCTTCGACTTCAATCAGATCAAGTCGATCGCCAAGATACAGGTGCGCTCCATCCTACCGTCTTGGAACATCCTGGCAGCTGATCACTATTTCGTTACAGTTTGCGACGCTCCTTCATTCCTCAAAGTTCGAACTGGCGAAGTGAGACGTGGACAGCTGTTTATTCGTTGTATCTATGCAGGTGTCACATCGCTCTTGTCAAGTGTTCATTAGAGGTCACTGCTCTACATCGCTACCGTTCGTTCTAGTATGCGATGAACGGGAAGGATATCCTGGATTTTGGAATGCGAGTGGAGACCTTTTGACGATATGCTGTGATCGGGAATCCCACAAACTCGTCATGAATCCCTTGTCACAGTTTGAGAAGGCGGAATGGCCGAGCGGTCTAAGGCGCTAGAATCAGGTTTAGGTCTTCCTATCTATCTAGTCCGAAAGGGCGTGGGTTCGAATCCCACTTCCGTCATTATCCTTTTGCTATTCTCAAGCTTCACGATAGCAGCGGGAAGGTGAGTACGCATTGCGGGTCTTTGCACTGTCGTACAGTTGCATATTCGTTGTGAAGTGACACAAGGACCCTTGTGTGACATTTTCTTTCGTGAGTGTTGTTTTCTGCTCAAGGTCAATCTGTGCAAGAAGAATCTGAGTATTTACAGTACTAGTAAGAATCCACTTGACCATGGCACAAACAAACGATGAATTGGAGAATGTGATTACGTTCACCGCTTGGCTTCTGGATCATGGTGGACATCTTGATCCCACAGTCCATTTTCATGCAGGTGTGTGCCTCGGTCCTCGATTGAGTGCGTATGCCGGGGCTGATGAAGCAATATGCAGTGCCATCCGGATTCGTTCTGGTGGCTCGTGAGGACGTTGCATCCGACACCGCCGTGGTGTCATGTCCGTTCTCCTTAGCCGTGACCCCGGAAATTTCCAAGCACGCACTGTCGGACATCCTGCACACAGATGACTTCATAAATTGGTCAGAGAGGCAGCTGATATGTTCGTACATCTGCATGCATTGGGTTTTCGGTAAAGCAAGGCATGCTGGGTCACGCAAGGAGACACGATCTGTGCTTATTTGAATTGTTGACAGCTCGCCAACCGTACTATTGCACTGGCCTTATATCAATACTCTCCCCGCTCCAGAAAAGTTACGCACACCGCTGCATTTTACAGAGACAGAGCTTCTAGCATTCAGAGGTACTAATCTATATGGCGCCACGCTCAGTCGCCGGAGTGAGTGGCAGACTGAGTGGGAGCAATGCCGCGCCGTGATTTTTGCGTCGAACCCCTCATGGGGCAGCGAATTTACCTGGTGAGTTAGCAACAGAACAGTAATTGAAACCCCTAGGACTGAAGTCGCAGGGCAGGGAGCGATATCTGACCGCGTCTACGTATCTCTCCTCCCGCGCGTTCCCATCCACAATACTCTCCCCTAGTCCTTCCCTCATATCTACGCCGGACGCGCATCCCGTTCTCCTACCGGGAATTGATGCACTCAACCACGCGCGCGGACAACCTGTATCCTGGGTCGTCTTCGTCCCCCCTACCTCCGCGTGAGCACACCACACCTTCACCTTGACCCAATCCCAGCTGATCCGTCCGCGCATGCTAGCCACGGAAGCACGACGTCGTCCATCTCCCTCGTCCTCCGTACGCCCACGCCTCGCGGCGGTGAGCTGCTGAACAACTATGGCCCGAAGCCGAACGCAGAGTTCATCCTCGGCTACGGCTTCGCACTCCCGAACAACCCGGACGACACCATCGCTCTGAAGCTCGGCGGAAGTGCCGCGCAGGGACCGATGCGCTGGGAGGTCTCGCGCAACGCGCACGGCGCGGAGCCGGTGTGGAGTGCGGTTCTTGATGCCGTGCGAGAGGACGCGGATAACACGGAGAACACGGCGGAGGACGAGCTGTGCGCGGCAGATATGCTCGCAGAGATGACACAAAACTTGCTGGACCGCCTTCCGGATGGTAGGACGGAAAGGATGCGGCCGGAGGTTGGGGTGATGCTTGAGTATTATCTTGAAGGTTTGTCCGTCGTGTTTTAACCTGAAAACATCTGACCTGCGTGCTGACCTGCGCGACGGCTCACCAGGACAACGCGATATACTACAGTCGCTGCTGCGCTTTGCGCAGGAAAAGGAGCAGCGTGCACTTGAAGCGGCACATGATGCGGGCTTCGAGGTTGTCGAGGAGGAAATCGAACAGGACGAATAAAAACCACCCCAATACCGTGGCATTGACATGACGTCTATCGCTACACTATTCGTTTATTTTTGTACAGCAGCGTGGACTCTGCGTCTGGAACCTTACGGGAGGTATGGTTCCAGGCCGAGGCCGTATATCTCATTCGAGTTATAAAAAAACGCGCGCTTCACGATGTGGCACGCCTGGGCAATGGTAATTTCTCCACGACGGATGTTGCTCTCGAGCACCTACAAGATGTGGTCTGAGTGTGGGTAGATAGTGCGTTGATTCTGCCGCAAAGCGCACCTGGTAGACCACTTCCCTGGCTTGGAGTGTGCCGAGGTAGTACGACTCAGGCCAAAAGTGTCCATCGGCTACAAATAAGATAGGTACTCAGAAAACATTTTGCGTTGTCAAATGCGACTCACTGGACCACAGTATCTTGTTCGTCGGGCACAGTTCGAGCACCTGCTTGAATACATCCCGCTGGCCGTCTGCGCTCAGGAACGGGAAGATCTCCCCGAAGTCGAGATATACGTTGCGATAGACGGATGTGAGGTAGCCCGCCTCCTGCGTGAATGGATACGAGGAATGTAGGAGGATGAATTTAGTGTTGGGATACGCCTTGATGACCGGCTGCATCAGTGCAGGTGTTGAGTGAAACAGCGAGATGTCATTATCGCCCAGGCCTGTGTGGAATTGCACTGTATACAACGTCAACAATGAGGTGTGCATGGGGGTCTACAAAACGAAAGTCGCACCTGGCTTGCCGTAATCACCTGCAATACGCAGTGTAGTACAGACTATGTAGTCATTGAGTGCTTTGTGTTCGAGACGCAAATCGCTAGTGGAGCATGCCTCGCATCGCAAGATGATCGATGTGAGCGCCTGCTCTATATCTTGGGAAGTCTGTGTGATGGTGATATCGAGGCCCGTCCGATAGCACGCTACTGACTTGAACCCCACAACTTCTTTGTCTTGTGCGCTCGCCGTGAGAGCGGCCATGAACTTCACGGAGAATTCGCTGAAGACATCGAGTGGTGCGAGCATTCCCATGGCGAGATGCGAGGAGACCAGAGGCTTCAGGATGTCCTAGATTATTAGTGAGTCAGTTCACTGCGTTTCCGTGCACGAAACGCTAAGACAAGACCTGTGCGACGACCTCGACCCTAACCAACCGTTTCGTAGAACTCGTCGTGAACGCGTCGTGCCAATCGTATGGATGGACCATGTCGACGACGCCCAATCCATCGTCGATAAGGATACATTGGATTTTTGTGGGTTCCATATTAATACGGCACAACTCCTGGTAGCTGAGGCCTATCCTGTATTGCTTAACATCTTCCCAGGTTGCATCCTTGGGTAGCTTGTAGAGTTTCGCGAGCTGGGCCGTGGCGCGGTAGCATGCAAGGGTATGAGGCGCGTCTTCGAGCAATGCAGATCCCTGCGCCTCAGAGACGAGGCCTTCAAAGGGCATGCTATAACGGAACTCCTCCTTCAAAAAGGCGTGTGCATGGTTATCGATAGCGGGCCAGTAGAAGGCGACCTTGTACAACGTCGCAAAATCAGCTGTGAGGGAAGGGTCATCCATCGTTGAACGCTGCCTCTCAGGTGGCTCGACGTGCTGTAATCGACTGGTCAATTCGAGCTGGACATCGAGATTTGCAAACAGCATACTTCTAGATCTACAGGATATCTACGCACCAGCTTTTATCTGTTCGCGGTATATGTGATCTGTCTCTTCAAGATGTTGCAAGCTGCTTGATCCTCCTAGTCGGTACAACCGTAGTCAAGTTAGCTAATGCCGCTGTCGACTCCGAGTCCCTTCGGATATGCAATCTTGAAACAGCGAACCATAGAAGCAGCGTGTGTGCGAAAGCAAGTTTCGAACTCACTCTGAACTGGAACCTCCGAGAACTCCGAATAGCCGCAGTTTGATAGTTTATTCAATTTGAACCTGTGTAAAGATCAGACACAACGCCGGATGGGTGACGTGGACAACTTACTGATAGGAGGCCCAGGTACAGAGCGCTACATATCAAACTCAGACCTCAGACTGATAACAAGTCTATTACCTCACTTGGAATCCCACAGCCGCAAGCTCAAGAAGTCTCGAAGGAACAATGGGGTCGTCCTGCATTCTCAATGCAACCAATATGTTAGTCTCTGCTGAAATTGATGCATAGCTAGCGCTCAGAATGCAAGTTATGCAACGTCTTCATCGACAGTACGTACTTACCGGGGCCCGGGTGTGATAATGAAGAAGTTAAGAAGAGGTCAGCGGCTAGCCGCGCATATGCAACACCGCCCGCCGCTTCCGAAAAGGTTTGTTCTCATCATCATTTTGCCTTCGTATATGTATATCTCCTCACCGTTCCTGGTAGCATCTCACGCTGACATGCATATTCTGCTTTTCATACAGAATTGTGACATGGACGTGGACATTCCAATCAATCGACTCAATCACCGCCATGAGGTTATGCGATGGGACCGACGTTGGCCCCAGGGCCCAGGAGGACATCTCCAAATCAGTGGCCAGGACAAATTGGTTATCAACGGACTGCGAGTTTTCTAGGCTTCATGAGGTGTATAAAGAGCTACAATGCACGGGTTCCCACTGCCCTCAGCTCGCTGCTTGACCTTGCGGTATGCTCGCTATGTTCGTGTCGGGTCTCCTGCACCTCTGGCCCCTGGGCTTCATACTAGTCCCCTCGTCTCTCGTGCACGCGCGCTCTATCAAACACGCCAGTGACAAGTCTAGCCCACGGGTTCTCATCCTCGGCGGAGGCGTCACAGGTGTCATCGCGGCGCGGACTTTGCACGAGCAGAGAATCACAAATTTCGCCATAGTGGAAGCGCGAGGTGCGTTTCTCAGTTGTAGCTGTCTTCCGCATGGCTTTGAATTTTGTGATGGTAGATGAGCTGGGTGGACGCTTAAAATCGACGACGTTTGGCACGCCAGGCAGACAATCGACGATCGAACTAGGTGCGAATTGGGTGCAGGGGACACAAACGGACGATGGGCCTGCGAATCCTATATGGACCCTCGCACAAAAGCACGGGCTGAAGACTCAGCCTAACGATTGGTACGGTAGTATCAGTAAGTGGAGTGCATGTTCTTTCCTCGGGCGTGTTACTGGTTTACATATCTCACGCGCGTTCACAGCGACATATGATGATACAGGGCTGGTTAACTACCTTGACGTGTTCAACAACTCGACGGACTACTACACTTCACTCACCGTCGCAGCCGGCACGCGCGTGACGAAGAGG